CTGACATGGGCGTTTTGCCTCCCAGTGACGCTCGTGCATCTACTCACTGCTAGTGTATTTGTAAACTGTCCTCAGCTGAACCTACAGTATTACTAGGTTCGGTTTTGGTCGACCACATGAGAAGCCAGTGCATGGAAGCTGAAGGTTATTAGTTGCACAATTTGAACAGGAACAACTTGGTTCTATCTGAGATTCTACTTGTTGTGTCACATAAAAATCACCTATGTGCCCATCAGTTTACCGGTAAAATCGAAAGGCATCCTAGAAGAAACTTAGGAACAATTCAGTAGAAAGAAACGAGGTATTCAGAAGGTGATCAGTATCAAACTAAAAGAACTGGAAACTGACTTACATTACTGCACCGTCACCCAACTGTCCAACAAAACTTCCGAATTGGTGGCCGCAGTAGCAATGCGCAGACGGCTCACTACCAGGCCAAATCTTGTTGCCGGCAAGGTAAAGGACTAATTCATTGTGAGCATTAGGACACTGAGGATTCTGTTTGATTAGTTCTTTCGGCAACTCCAGTAATTCGAATGCCTCATGAGAAGCCAAAACCATTCGGGGTGATTGGACCGGAGTTGGCTGAACGCGTACAAAAACGGCATTAGGCACACTGCGAACACGGTTTTCTCCATGATCCACAGGGAGAGCACGAAGAGCTGAGTTTTCGAAATTAGGGCCCTTACGAACTGTATCCAACAGATTCATAACGCAATACGATTTCCACGCATCCCGTGACAATACACGAGGACGGAAGAGTATGTTAGGTCGCCAAATGATTGTGGTAATAGTCTTTTCAAAAAATAAAAACAAGTGTGATGAAAGCTAGTTTGAAAGGCATGCCATTGTATGAGAAAAACGGTGACACTTCGGTTCGAAAGAAATGATATCCTGGGGTTGCCCAAATAACAACATAGTTCATTCCCAAGAATTTATCGCCTTGAGAAAAAAGTAACTCGTAGGATCGAAGTCACATCTAATAAGGTACGCGGTCATACCTAGTAGCGTGAGTGTTGCCTGAATTATTCTCAACTTTAGCACAAAGTTGCACTCATATTTGCAATTTTATGGAAAGAAATTAAAGTTTTTCATCCACTAAAGTTATATCGCGAATTTCTCTGAATGGATACTATATAATCGTCTAAACCACATTTCCACATCATCATCATCGTTGTATAAAACGAGACAGTGAAGCGAACTTCACGGATCGCTGCCAAGTTCACAATGTACACAAACCAAGTGATAAAGCACAAGATGGAGAGGGATTCACCTACTATGAGGGAGGGCGCAGAAGATGAATCCCTATGCCCAACACAGAATGAACAATCGAACTCTGTATACATACCACTTCAAGCGTTCTGGACTGATAAGAAATGACAACAAGAACGCCATTGCTGTCGGTTCGCTGCCGTATCCTTCAGTGTCTCCAATCAACCAGTTACAGAGTATATCGAAACCCAACCTGGAAGTTAAGTGATACCTACTCTACCTAATGGCTCTGTGCATTTCAC